CCAAAGTGGCTGTCGATTATGTTTTGATTTTTTTTTTATCTTTTTTTTTTAATTTTTTAATTTTTAATTTTTATATTTAAATTGTTGTATTAATTAAAAAAAAAAAATCAAAACATAATCGACAGAAAATGGCTGTCGATTATAGGTATAATTGACAACCAAAGTGGCTGTCGATTATGTTTTGATTTTTTTTTTAACTTTTCTATCTTTAATTTTTATATTTAAATTGATGTGTTATTTTTTTAAATTAATGCTCAATTTGATTTATCTAATTCTCTTCTTTTTTTTTGGTTTTTTTTTTTTTGGTTTTTTCCTTTTAGTTTTTTTTTATTGATTCTCTTATAAAAAAGATAAAAAAAAAATCAAAACATAATCAACAGCCATTTTGGTTGTCGATTATACTTGAAGCCCGCCCATTCACCCCAAAAAAATTAAATCTCCCAGCTAATTTAATTTGAAATATATTTGACAACCTTATTTTGTATAATCGACAGGATTTCTGTCGAATATATTTGTATTATATAGTGGCTTTAGCATCAAAACATCCCATTGTTATCTCTTTTTCATCTTTGGTTATCTCTTCCTTTCTTCTTCTTTTTCACAGGTAAAACGTCCCAACTTTTCTCTCAACTTCTTCTCCTTTTATTTTTCCTTTTTCTTTCATCTTTTATACTCTCCCATTTGTATTTTTGTAAGTATCTCTAATTTTATTTTATTTTTCATTTATACTTATTTCATTATCTTATTATTAAATTAAGAATTCTTATTATTTGATAGACTAATAGTTCCTTCTTCTTTTTTGTGTGTGCAGATTTTAATACCATAATTATGAGGTAAATTCTCCTTTTAAATTTGATTTATACTTTTTATTTCCTTTTCTTTTAATAAAATCATAATTTATACCAATGCAATGTTTTTTTCTTATTTTTGGCAAGATATAGATCAAAAAATAATTAATGTTAGAATTCTCATTTTAATTTTATTTATATTTATCTACTATTTCTTATATTATATAATTCTCAAAATTATTTCATAAATATATTGTTGGGGGGATTTGATAATTGTGTTGAAATTTCATTTCATTGTTTTTTATATAATTTAATTAACAGAAAAAATTATAAATATAATCTTGGATTTTTTTAAATTCTGTATTTTTTTTTATTTTTTTCACCAAGTATATTCGATAACCATTGGCTATCGAATATACTTATATTCGACAACCATTGGCTGTCGAATATAAGTATATTCGACAGCTAATGGTTGTCGATTATATATTTATATTCGACAGAATAATTTTTTGTCGATTATAGTTTTTTTCGACTACCGTTTTTACAACATAAATACTTGTCGATTATGTCTGTCGATTAAGATATAATCGACAGAAATCCTTGTATAATCGACAGTATTTTCTGTCGATTATACTGTGTTTTCTAGTAGTATGTATTTAATATTAGTATCTCAAGTAAATGAAAAAGAGTTAATTATTTAAATAATATTAAATTTGTATTAAAAATAATCTAAATATTATTTTAATTAT